TGATTTAGATGTCCGAAAGGTTGAAATAAAATTCTGCTTTTGGATAAAGATAAACCATTTAAAGTCACAAGTTTCTACTATTAAAACAAGAATCTGTTGTAGAGTGTTTAAAATTGTAAAATAATCATTCCTATGATTTCAGTCTTTTAAAACACTTTCTGCTGATTTGCATTAGTGAAAACAAGTAAAACGTGTCTTTGATATTGTGAAAAAATGTTTAGGAACAATGATCTGTGTTAACATTTTTGCGTGATAAGTAACATTTTTGTCATTTTCTGTTTACAAATAGCAATATCAATCGCCAGAACGCAGCAATATTCAAGCAGTATATGCATCCACTTATGTATGAAGAGAGCCTAGAATACATGATATGATACACAAGTACGAGAAATATGCCACGGTTAACAGTTGAAGAGAGAGAAAGAGCCATTGGGTTGGTGCAGATGGGGTCGACATACAATGCTGTTGCCAACGTCCTCGGATGCCACCGTATCACGGGTTTCAGACAGACTGGGGTCACCGTAGACAGACCAAGAAGTGGACGTCCACGCATCACTACGCAAGTTGAAGATAGGTACCTCCGTCATTAAGGAAGGAGGGTAACGTTTCTTTTGGTGTTTAGTGTATATGTTTCTTTCCAAAGGGTACATGTAGGCCATCGGCCCACGGTACAAACGTGTCATTGGTCCACAGAGTTGCGATATTTATTCGCACACTGTACAAACATTGCAACACGTTCCATTATTTCAACATTAGTATTGGACAATAAGAGGTTAAACCGATTAATTGTAGGTTTTCAAAATACTTGTTTATATAAACTGTTTTCTAAGATTACTGTAAGCGTTACATTCAAATAGAAAATGATATCCATTTTCGATATTACAGCTATTACAGAGCTTACAAACATTTTTGTATAGGAATATTGATGAGCTGTTAGCATCCTGACAATATACAATCAGTGAGATACTACACGATTTGATAGCCATGTTTTTCGCCATCTTGACGTAATTATCCCGCACGATCAATATCGGTTGCTGTCCTTAGTGTACTCAATAATACTAGGGAGTATTATGGGTGAGTGAATGAGAATGGTTTTACGCCGCTTTTAGCAATATTCCAGCAGTATCACTACGGGAGACGTCAGAAATGGGTTTCACACATTGTGAGTGAGTGAGTATGGTTTAACGCCGCTTTTAGGAATATTCCAGCAATATCACGACGGGGGACACCGGACATGGGCTTCACACATTGTACCCATATGGGGAATCGAACTCGGGTCTTCAGCGTGACGAGCGAACGCTTTAACAAATAGGCTACGCCACCGCCCCAGGGGGTATTATGGGATACTCATTATAGCATAATGGTTAAACTATGCATATGCATGAGTGCTCTATTTCGCTGTCGATCAACACCCACAAAATACCAATCATAACAATACCATAGTAATGCATGTAGGTTTTGATAATGAGATTAGTTGATCACACAATTCGATCATATGAAAGCATCTCCGTTGGGTAGAAAATTCCGTAAAACAACTCGTTTAAAATTTAAATTTAGCATCCGACCCCCTTGACGCAGTCTTTTAAGATGAATGTACATCTTCTAACAATGTCAACCGTATAAGAAATACTGACAGAACATAACCCAGAGGACGTCAGAGAGGTGAATACCTCGTAAAGCAGGCTGCACTAATATTCGAGTAAATCTTTTCAAGAACGTGAGTGACGCTGAATCCACCAGTGAGTGGAACCTTATGGACCGCTTATTCACGAACTGAAGTAAACTGGGACTATCATTATTACTTCGGCATTTAGGTAAAAGGTACATGCAAAATATTCCACATGCAATTGGGCATAATGGTGAAGGGTTCGTAAATTAGAAATATGTAGGTATCTCTCTATATAACTTATATATAGTGGCCGTATATTATACACACCCTAGACTGTTTGAGTATAGCTTGCACTTGAGCCCTTTGCCCACAGACTGAGGAATGTAATTTATTCTCACCCATCTTTGTCAATAAATCTGAGCATTGTTATATTTTATTGTGATTACGTTTCCATAGAAGAGCTCTTAACGCTTTGACGTGATTGGATTTATACCGTTAACATTGTAGTTATGCAATAATCCCAGACCTGACTCTAATGACATAAGGAATATCTGTTCACTTTATGGCTCATAGTTTTTAGAGCAAATATTTCATGGTTGTTTACTTTGGGGAATATAACACTGACGCCTTTCTTAAAAATTAGGAAAACCATTTCCACCATCACAAGAATGTTAGGTAAAACGTGTCTGGTATGCGAATCTGTACACATAAGCGGTTATCCGAACTACTGATCATGAAGCTTTGAATTTGAACAATAGTGGGATCGTTCGATGACAAATACAACATAACTAAATGCCTCGGGTGTTGTTACTTAATTAGGACAGAAAGTATTGTAACACTGTTTGAAGTTGTAGTTTGTAATATGTCCATTTGATGACAACTGAAAATGAAAATATTTGGTTACGAGATGAAACGTAAATTTACTTAATCAAACTTCTGTTCATAAGATATAAAGAACTAATTTAAGACTACTGCAACAATTGTGTTAAAAGCGACACAATACTTCTGTATTTAAAAAATGAGTGAGTAAATTTAGTTTTACGCCGCACTCCATATATTCCATATATATTGGTGGCAGTATGTTAATAATCGAGTCTGGACCAGATAATCCAGCGATCAAAAGCATGAGCATCGATCCACGCAATTGGGATACTGATTCTAACCCGTGTGATTCCGACTCCACCATGAGTATGTGTTATGTGTTTATGAATCACTATCAGATACTGATGCTGCCAGGTTTTCGTGGCAAGGTGAGCCTACATATGTCGAGTTACTGCTGGATTGATCACAGACATACATGCAAGTATCGTGAATAATATTTGATAACTATTGTTTGTGGCATATAAAGTACTCATTTGAATTTCATTTAGATGATACAAAAAACTAATCTTAGCCGGACAGCCATCTATCTTAGTGGTAAGAACATTCTAGTTTCCAATTAGTCTACATCCAGTCAGGATTTGAATTTTATTAAGATGATACAAAAAAAACCCTATTTACCGGTCAGACTTATTACTTGTAACAGCCTTCACAGTTTCTTATTAATCTACATCCAAATAGGACTTAGGAATGTGTTTCAATACATAATGAACTTCAATTATTGATCCAAGACTTAAAACCATCTGCGTTCTGTCTCCAAGAAACCTACCCGAAAAGGACTGATAAATGCGACATACGTCAGTATAGTTCCTACCACATACTTTTCTCCTCCCGGTGTTAAAGCCACGGGAGGCACTTCTATCCTGGTGAGGCAGGGCATCCCCCATAGCCCTGTTTCACTTAAGACCAATCAACAAACTAAACGCCGGTCACGGAGGAAATATGTGTCCAAAATCAACTCCCGCACACCCATGTCCAAGGTGTGGAACATGATTCAAAAGATTAAGGGCAAAAGATCAAAATCTGGTGTCCGCCATGTCAAAGATGGTGACTCTCTTTTAACAAATAAATTTGAAATTGCAAATAAACTTGGCGAACCTTTGGCAAACCACTCCCCCTCGTCAAATTATAACCCCCAGTTCCAGAAATTCCAAACCCAACAAGAAAAGAAATCAGTCAATTTAACACTGATAATGGTGAGGATTACAATGAAACGTTTTCTCTCCATGAATTACGTACTGCTCCTGTAGGAGCTGATGATATTCATTATCAGCTTCTGAAACACCTCCCTGGATGAAGTTTGGAAACACTACTCACTATATTTGATGACATTTGGACAACCGGCAATGGTATGTTACATTTGACCACTTTCTAAAATGGCATTGTGTATTTAACAAAATTGTATTCACTTTTGTCGTAAATACAAACCACTCAAGGATCCAGACCTATCTTTAGATGGTACTCCCATCAAGGTAGTAGAAGAGGCCAAATTCCTGGGACTCATATTCGACCGTCACTTGACATTCTTACCACACATAAAATATTTGAAAACAAAGTGCTTGAAGGCTCTGGACTTACTAAAAGTTGTTTCAAATACAGAGTGGGAAGGGGATCAGACTACCTTTCTTAACTTGTACAGAACTTTGGTTCGCTCTAAACTAGATTACGGCTCCATTGTTTATAGTACAGCCTGCAAAAGCAATTTATAAAAATTAGATTCTATCCACCACCAAGGCCTGAGGCTCTGTGTGGGAGCTTTTAGGACCTCTCCGGTAGACAGTCCATATGCTGAGGCTAACGAACTTTCACTACAGTGTATCACTAAATTACGTTCAAATGAGTCCAATCCAGCATACAATTGTGTTTTCAACCCTCTCTATGAAAACCTGTTTCCTAAACTGCCAAGCCTGGTTCCACCATTTGGAATCAGAATTCAACCACACATATCTGCAGCTAAAATTGATCTCAATATCATAGCACCTTACCGACTCATGTCTTCGCCACCTTGGCAGATGGTGAAACGACAGGTCGATCTTACCCTCACTAAACTCAAAAAGTCCGAAACAAATCCTTTGGTGTTCCAGCAGGAATACAACCAGTTACGTTCCAAGTATGACACCCATAGATCAATTTTCACAGACGGATCCAAGAATGATGGCCAAGTTGCCAGTGCTACAGTCATTGGATCCAAGACTGTCTCCTCCAGAATCCCCGACAATAGTTCCATGTTCACTGCTGAGGCCAAAGCTATCTTCACAGCTCTGATCTATATTAAACAACAGAACCATTCCAAAAACTTCATCGTTTTACAGACTCAAGCACTTCAACATTTCTCGAAACAAACTTAAGTTTTTACTCAAATTACAAACTGAGTTTGAGATTTTGACTCAGTTGAGTTTTCTCAAATTTTCCTTTTCTCAAAACAATCTCAACTCAAACTCAACTGAGTTTTGATTTGAGATCTCGCTGAGTATTTTTTGTCCATGTGGTAAGTGGCATAAGGTGCCCGTAACTTCCGTTTCTAATGACAACAACATCGTCTGCTATCTGCTCGCTTGTCGTGAAGCCATGTATACATCAAAGGTTGAGGGCAAGCGGCGACCAAATTGGTCGGAGGAAGAAAAAACATCTTTGGTGGAGGAAGTCAGTAAAAGATTGGATCGGCTGTCATCTAAGTTTAAGGGGTGTGGCTCAATCAAAGGGACTAAGATGAAGGAGCAAGCCTGGATGGAGATAGCCGAAACTCTCAACATGTAAGTTGAATATGATAGATTTCAGAATGTAGCCTTGAATTTATGATTCACGATCAACACAACCTAAAAATACTTTCTGATAAAAGTTGCAGTGAGGTTGTTTATATCGAACAAAACAAATGGATATAGAAACTTGGCATGGTTAGATGCCGATCGCTTACTCACTGTCGAGTCCGATTTTCGATCACCTACAACTCCTACGTTTTCATCATTCATGGATATAAACATATTCTTAAATCATATCCTGGCTAATAAGGAAATTCTTTTCATAAATATGCACAGTGAAGTGACATGAATATCAAGTTTTTGACGGTGCTTGACATTGAAAGGATCAGTCTGGTTTATCTGTTACAGAATTTGTAAAGATGACGTCATATTAACTTATTTTACAGGCCTGGGAACGTAGTAAAAAGATTTTTATATCTCCTTATGTTAGATCTAGATAATATATTTTGAATAAAATGTTGGAGGCAAATATTTAGTCATTATAATTCTCTGATCAATGTTTATCTAGTTACATTTGATCATGATGAATTCTTTTAAATTTATTTGTGTACTGAATATGATTATTGTCTAGATTTTAAAAAAATATATTGTATAAAAAAATGAAAATCACAACATTACAACAATATTTCAAATCCTCTTTTTTATTCAACTCTACCACATAAGGAATTCAAAATATCCAAGAAAATGTCTATTAGACTGTCTCAATAATCCAAATAAAAAATAACTATGTTCAGAAAATGACCAAAGAAATAGAACAGATGGACACTTGTAAATATTAAATGAGTGACAATAATTTAAGCATAAGTGAAAATTCTTCATATCATAATATTGTTGTTCAAGGAAATCCAATTTTGTAAAAAGAACTGTGGAGGAGGTGAAGAAGCAATACGCTAATATAAAGCAGAGAGGTAAGAAAAAGTATTCAATAAAAAATCATAATTGCAAAAGGGAAAGTGACTGATTGGAAAATAACAATTAATAGAAGACATATCTTCACTGCCTTGTATAACAATTTCAAGTACAGACTGAAGGCCCATACACAATATAATTACAAATATTAATAAATTTAATATACAAATAATGAATGAAGTGAATGATACTTGACTTGTCATGAATATGTATGTTAATGATATGTACTTATTACAAAAAGTGATTCATAGTAGGTAATTTCATTTTGAAATTCCTATTATGATTTGGTTTTATGTCTTTGGCAATTCATAGCTAGTAGATTTTTCGAAATGTAAATGTAATATAGTCATAAATGCCAATATGACAGTGTTTTGTAAGATTCTTATGCTATTTCAGAAACATATCAATATATTGTATTCTTCATAGCAAAGGACAAAGCAGACGCGATACGCCGGCCGAAGACAGGTGGTGGACCGAAGCCCCCCTCACCCTCTCTACCAGAGGCTATGGTCCTAGAGGACTTAGCTGACAGGCCTACCCTACAAGGCCTGGTAGATGGCTTTGACTCGGAAGGTAAGTGATGCTATTTTAACATAATAGAACACTTTAAAATTCAAGGTCATAACGTTTTAATTGTTTGGAAGAAAAGGTTTCATAGACACAATTGACCATACGCCTTGCCTTAAAAATTTGCAGTAATATCAAGAGTTGCCATTCTCATTAATTAAATTTTTCTCCATTTTGTGCATGACCGAGTGTCACATTGTGCTGAATTTATATCTTGTGATTTTGGTCATCTCATTTTATCAAATATCAAGTCTATTATTGGATCAAAAGCAATCTAAAGTGGGTATAAATGCAATAATATAGCCAATTGCATTTCGGAAAGTGTGCTCTTGTGCCCTTAATTAGTACACATGAAGGCTGATAAATAATTTTTAAGTTTTGAAGTCAAATCTGAGTAGTTATATTAAAATCATATGAAGCCCATAAATAAATTGCCTGAGGATTAGGCAGATCACCAACTTGTTGAGTTGTATCTGTTACAGATTTCAGTAGTGTGATCAACTCCATGGCGATGGAGGGGAGTCTGCCCGAAGGTGAAGCTCACCTACCTGTCAGTCAGGAATGTATTCCCAGTGAGTATAAAAATCTTAATATATGTGCACAAAAAGCACTCTATTCAATATCATTAAAAAAATAATTTTTCCAAAAATACCAGTAGACATCCAAATTGTTTACATTCTTTGATATCTTTTAAGTTTGGAAGTCTAAATAGATCAACAGGCTCTGCATGCTTAAAGATTGAGGATATAATGTCAAAATGTGTACTCTTTTTTAGATAAATAGGCAATGTCTGGTCTACAGTACTTGTAGATAGTATACCTGTCAATCATCAAAAAAACAAATTCCAAATTTGTCATATTTGTTCCAGATCACACCTTGCCTGTTGATGTCCTCATTGACAATCAGGGTATGCTGCACATCCCCTCCACAACAACAACAACGAAATTGAGCAAGAAAAGAAAGTTACTCGATGATGAAGTGTCTGTTCTCCAAGCAGAAAGAGACAAATACATTGCAGAATGTGAAAAGTTAAAGCAAGAAGCCATTTTTTCTGAATTAAGGCTGAGGTGGAAGAACTGAAAAAAGCAAAAATTACAATTGGAAATAATGAAGCTGAAATGTCGAAATGAGCAGTGATTTGTGATTACATAGATTCCAACTAGCATATTTGCATGGAATATTTCACACAATGAAAATTTGTTTGTTCATTATGTTATATAAGAAACCATCATTTGAAGATAATTTGTACAATATTCAGGTGAAGTATGACTGACAAAGATAATTTCTAACATTTGTTCCACTCAGATCATCAGCAACTTGGAGAGTGAATTTATCATCATTACAATCATCGTAATCAACATTAATTACATCTTGGCGGTCAATGCCGATATTATGTAATATTACACTTGTAACAATTACGTTACATGCACTCTTGGGTGACATGCGCAAACCACTGTGCAGACAAGAAAATCTGCGCTTAAGGATTCCGAATGTTTGCTCAATAAGAACTCTGGTTTTCGTTTGACTTCTGTTGAATTTTTCTTGAGCCCTGTTTGCTGGAGATAGATACGGTGTCATTAGGTAGGACTTGCATGGGTAGCCAGAGTCTCCAAGAAGTAAACCCTTGTAAGTACCTGTAATAGAAATGACAAATTACAAATGTCAAGTATTCTTTGCTTGTTATTTGTATATGATGTCAATTTGATTAAGTCATAGGCTGGAGAATGTATGTACAATGAACTGGAAAGGAGGTTAGGATATGGTGTTTTAGTATAGCTGGGTAATCATTATAATTCTATATCAAATAGTTAAATATGATTTAATTAGTCAACAATTATCTAAATTTAAGACTGAAATGATAACAATACCATAGGCAATATCTTTGCAATGTTTATAGATTTAAGAGGTGATTTTTTTATTCCGCTTCGCAGTTCAACTTTTATATTTTGAAACAGCATTTGGATTGATCTCCCTTTACATAACATCCGGTAAGGATTCTTAACCGTGGTTTTGATATTTACTGGCTAAGAAAAATAAAGATGTTTACCTGCAATCTTGTAAAACATGGACTTGCATGAGTCCGTGTCCACGGGCATCTTAATGTAGCGCTGTGCCAGGGGAACCAAAGCTCCGCAAAAGTCCCTGATTGACCGATACACCGACGATGCGGAAATGCTGCGGTACGTATCGGCAATCAGGGAACAAAACCCACCGGTCGCCAGAAACCGGAGAGAGACGAGCACCTGCGTGAGAGGAGGCAGGGGGCAGCTCCTAGCGGTCTCTCTCCTCAGCTGGCCAGCTACCAGGGACACTATGAACAGGATCGTTTCAGGTCGGAAACGATAGCGGGCAAACACCGATTCCTCAGACATGGTTTCAAGAGGGTTGCTACGGTCGATTAACCCTCTCGCCACTCTAGACTTGTTTCTCCGACGGCGTTGTTGCCTTCTCCTGTACGCCATTTTCATCTCAAATAATGACTTAAGTTACCTACCTAGCAGACTCAAATATTTTGAGTTTTTAACTCAAGTTGAGTCGAAAAACAAACTCAGTTTTCTTTGAGAAATGCATTTTGCTGAGTTTTCTCAAATTTGAGTAAAAACTCAAACTTAAGTCTGAAAACAGACTTAAGTTTGTTTCGAGAAACCGGGGCCTGATTGTTAACTACCTGAGGGAAGTTGATTTGTATCATAAATTGTAACCGTGTAATGTAAATAACAAATTGCGTGCTTTTCAATTTAGTGCTGTTACGCTTTCTGTTTTTAAACGACAGTGAAATGAATATATATGTCTTTGAAATAAAACTCATTTGGATTTTGTATTTGAAATTTTTATTAAAGCAGACTTGTTCTCGTCACTATGTGGCTGGAAAAATGCCGATGTGACGTAAAGTCCAACTCAACTCAACTCAACTTGAGATAATTCAAGAAAGTGGTCAAGGACCCCCTAATTTCGGTTACCTGATTCTATTTTCAACCATTCGACAATCAATACGCGAGGCAGATGACGAAGTTCATCCATGTTCACTTTCAAAAGAATTAGAATTTTCAATGAAAGAAAAAGTTATTATGACTTGCAATTAAATTGACAACAAACTTTTCTGAAAAACTGCAGGGTGACATTTGTGATGTTTGCAGTTACACATGTTCTTCTCCCTCTCCGCTCCCGAACCTGAGGACACAAGTGATCGTTTCAGTCTGATTTGTTCTGAAATTTACATCCTGATTTCCACTTCAGTATATTGATTGGCGGTTTAAACCAACCGATTGGTTTTCTTTCCAGAAGTAATTGGGATAGGATTGATTTTTTACAGCCTAGGGCCTGACTTTGACGGGTTACATTCGCGAAGGAAGTGTCTTGATGGTGCAAGGTACATGCAAGTCACACACAGAGGGTATTCATGGTTTCACCATCTTACGCTTAAGCAATTATGCTTCGATAATTGAAACTCAATATGGGGGCTTATAAATAGAAAGAAACGTTTAATGCACCCCAAGGCTGAATAACTGGTGGACATATACATGAACAGCGCAAATGGGTACTCGAAGGCAGTGTAGTTGATAAAAAACAGATTGGGTCTTCCTCGTATACGTGAGGTGAAATGGAACTTAACTTCCCCCAAGATTATTTGGTTTTGATTGCAACGTGTGTATGTGGCTGTACTTGATCGGTCTCATGCCTGAACCACAGTGCTATATATACCACAGTAAACATGGATGCGCCGACCAGACGCAGGATACTGACCAAGAGCCAGCTAATACCCGTGAAAATCCTCAGCATGGCAATATTCGGACACGATTGAAACTTTCTTTGAAATAAACAAGCTGAAAATACAAGAGCTCACATGTTTTAGGCGCGCTGTGTTAACTCCGCTCCGCTCCCTTATTCAGCAGTCTCATTAACACATGCTATATTCGGAATACACTTTCTCAGTAAAGTACAGATTCAGGTACGTGTGTTGGGTTAAGTCCTAACCGGTATTCGTCCCTAGTATGGTGATCTTCCCTCAGTTGCTGGTGACCTCCAGCTCGTTTTTATATTGTTTAGCCAACAATAGAGGTTTAATTTAAAATTTAAAGTTCCATGCTGGTTGTACTTCTCTGTCTGCGCTTATCTAGCCATTTTACTGTCCTTTGTTGACCGATTTTATAATATAACGTTATCGATTATCAATAAATGAATTGTTTAAGTCACGATATGACTGGAATATCGCGGTGTGACTATAATTTCAACTCACTGACCCACGCCCAACTTGGATTCTAACACTCACTCTCACTCACCTAATCGCCAGCACACAAAGTCAGAAATCTAAGCCACTCAGCCACCGCGGATTCCACATAACGTGGATGCGGCGTTGGTGGATTGGGTTAGATGAGACTTTTGGTTTCAAATCCCGGATGGGACTAACCTAACAAAAGTACTGGAGTTGAAGATGAGGTCACGTTAAGAAGGTATTTCGGTATTTATTCATTCACTGTATTGATTTAATCCAATGTTGAGACTATGTGCACAGTGGAGAGCAAATTGAATGAGGTTTTTAAAGTGTAAAGTCTAAGCTATCAAAATGGTTTTATTTCTGTTCTCTGCGGAAATTCAAATGAACAAAAACATTGCGGAAGAGTTAATTGCAAAAAAGACTAGTTTGTTTTGTGAGTGCAAATATAAAAAAAGTCCAATTCGCCTTTACTCAAAAAGTAAAACAAACTCTGATTTCTGCCTATTACCTGTCCAACTTATTGGATAAAGCAAAAACAGCCAAAATGCTTGCAAATGACGAAAAACAAGAAATGAGTGTTCAGAATGTGCCAATTTCACTTTCTTATCATTAAAGACACATTAGATGAAATGAGTCATTAATGCTGCACAAACTGGAGAGTGACATTTGAGATGTTTGCAATTACACATGTTCTTCTCCCTCTACGATGCTGTAACAGAGAACACTAGTGGTCGTTTCTGCTTGATTAGTTCTGAAATTTACATCTAGATTTCCACTCCAGTATGTCGATGGAAAATTTAAGGCAAACCAATTGATTTTCCTTCATGTAGTAAATGGGAAAGAAATTATTTTTATTGTAAAGGGTCTGGCTTTGTTGTCTTTGAATGGATGGAACAAGGTACATGTATGCCGCATATAGATGTTCGCATATACTTAATATGTGAGACTGTTGAGCGCATAGACCACCGTTAGCTTTGTGTCTGTTTCAAGTATTTGTTCATAAAATTTCAATTACAGACTCAAATCGTTGCGGCGAATGTGAAGGAATCTACGTTAGCACTTGATTCATAAACATGAACCATGCTTTTACTTTAAAGCAGCCAAGTTTGACACATCACAGTTCGACCAAAGGCGTTTCAATGCAATTATGAAGAATATGTAATTGTTAATTGAAATATTTCCCACTTATCTATAAATAGTTTTTGAATCCCATCTGGATATCACCTATTCTACAAGGACATTGAAGAATGCTTGTCCAATGAGTTGTGGGCTTGAGTTAGGGTGGGCTATTTTCATAATTTCAGACTTGTTAATTCTGAACTGTGCGGATTGTGTCAATTAGCTGCTAGTCACATATATAAGTGCAAAAACGTTAGACTGTGGACCCCAAAACACTTTTTCCCATGGGCCAAATGTTCCAGTACATGTTTTTGTCTAAATTGTAAACACGCTTACTCTGAGATTTTAAAGCTCTGATATGTCCCCTTGCCTCGCACATTGTAATGAGTGATGCCTTATTCAGTGTGTCAGTCGAGTCGCAATCAGTTAAGGAAGATCACAATGCTGTGCAGAGTTGAGTCAACTGGCTTTGCAGGGTGGATAGGAACCTTCAGTTTGGATTCCAATTTGCAACGATCGGTTCTGATGTTGTCAGCACGAGCATGTATGGGATTCACCAAAGTGTTTAAGGAATAAGATCTCATTCACTTTCGGGTTTCCTCTCGCGCTTAGGCATGAGGACTACTCACGAATCACGAATCACTCACTCACTACTCATATACTTCAATTACATGTTTGTAAACATATTTCTGACCTCTGATCTCTGAGTATGGATACATCATTTGCTCGGATATTAAAAGGTCAG